AAACTTGCAAAAGCTGTCTACTCTTAGTGTATCTACTTCCTGTCCTCTCACTCTCTTCAAAATGCTCTGGAATCTGGTTTCTTTTCAACTGCAGCTGTTCTTTCCCAGATGATCCTTTAATTGACATATCCAATGGCCTTTTCTCAATCATGTCCTTCTTGACCTCTCTGTAATGTTTGGCAGTATTGATGGCCATCTCCTCCTGAATATTGTTCTCCTCTAGCTCTTCTTCTATCTCTCTGACCACCTTCTCATTTTCTTTTGCTGGGCTCTTCATGTCATGTGCACTAACTGTGGGTTCCCCCCTAACCTGTCTTGGGTCTCCTCTTTACTTTCTATAATGTTGATCTCATCAGCTCCCATAGGTTAAAGTATTATCTCTATGCAGATAAATCTTAAATCTATATATTCAGCCCTAATTTCTCTCCCATATCACCAACTGCCTGTTGAACATTTCAAATTGTATGACCCTTAAACACCTCAAACTCAGCCTGTCTGAAATAGACATCTTTACGTTCTTCCTTCAAACCTACCCCTCTTCCAGACTTCCCGATTACTGTAAAGGACATCACTGTCCTTCCAGGCACCTTGGTTAATAGCCTCCATGTCATGTTTAATTCTTACTGTTGCTCATGCCACATACAAAAGCAGTTGCTAAGTCTTGTCTTTCATATCTCCATAACACCTCTAACACCTCTAACACCCCCCCTTCTCTGCTCTCCTGTCTGCCATCCTCATTCAGGCTCTCCCTCCTCACCTCTTCAATAACCCAATAGGTGCCCCTGCCTCAATTCTCTCCTTCCTCAAATCCTTCTAATAGTTGCCAAAATGATGACCTTGTCAGGTCTGACCATGGCACTACCCTATTAAGTAAACGCCAGTGGCTCACTACTGCTTCAATGATTAAATAGTTATAGCAAATATATGTAGTGCCTGGGACTACTTCCTCAACTCTCACTTTCACTGGGTCCTTAGAGGGCAGCCGACTACTACCCCCTGGGTTCTAGAGTTAACCCTGAGCAGTTGGGTTTCTAGTACTGTCCCTCACAAGTCCCCATAGGCATACTTCTCATTGGTTATCAGGTTTAATTAGTTTTTAGAAAAGCTATTTCAAAGCAGATATAGCAAAGACAGCTGCTATAAAAACACTTCATCCAATTTGGGGGAACACTGTTTTTTGCAAACATGAGATCACTGGGGTGAGTGGGCTCAAACTTAGAGCACAAAGCTCATGGGGCACATGTGCAGATAGTCAAGGGGTATCTTTGGGAATGTTCTGTGTCCTTTGAGACCTCAAGAACTTCCCCTTAGATGTAGTTCTTTTGGGCTCCAAGGACTATTGTCTTTATAGATTGCTTAGCCTGAAATTCTCTGCTTGCCCTTCGCAAGGGGGAGGGGAATTTCACTCTGCAGCTGCCTTTCCTTAACATCTGATATCTGATGTGGCCTCAGCAACACAGCAGATGCTGTCAGGCTGCTGCTCCAGGGACTATTGACTATTGGCTAATAGATTGGCTTTGGTGAACACTGCTGCTCGGATCTTCTGACCTTTGAAATTCAAAAGGGTATCATCTGGTCAAGGGAAGGTGTTGGGGGGGAGGGGAGAGAGACAGAAAAAGGCAGACAGGGACACTGAGAGACAGAGATGGAGTGAGTGACAGAGTTAAAGGAGGAGAAGAGAGACTGAGACAGACAGAGACAGAAAAGAGAGTCAGAGAGAAAAGAGAGGAGAAGAGAAAGGGGGAAAGAGATTCACAAATAGAGACAGAGAAAGGAGGAGAGAGACAAAGAGGCAGAAACAGAGAAAGAGAGTCTGAGAGAGAAACAAAGAGAGACTGAGAGAAAGGGGAGGGAGGGAAGATGCTTCTCCCACCTCTGTTCCTCCCCACCCCAAGCACTGCTTCCTTCACTGGTGGATTTTTTCCCCTAGAGTTCTACTGATTAGTTCTAAACTAGATTGCTATTTTTATAAAATAGCTCCATAGAACATGACTAATTCTTTTTAACCAATCACAAGATATTTTCTCTGTGGAGTCATCTGCTGTCATCCAATGACCTAAAACCACTGTGATCCTTTCAAATTGACTAAGGACTTTTTTTATACCTAGTTAATTTTTTAATGGTAACCAAGATGTTTAAGCCTTCAATGATTAATTTGAGGAAAGGGGTGAGCCTCTACCCCTACTTATAAACTCCTCTCTGTGGCAATTAAAATTCATCACAATCTCTCCCTTTCCTGTCTTTCCAGTCTTCCGCATTATACCTCTCCATGCCCTCTTCCATTTAGCCACAGTGGCCCATCTCCCATCTCCCATCCCCAAAAGTGCCTTTGTACTAATTGCTTCCCATACCTGAAATGTTGTCTATCACCCCCCCACACCCACACACCTCTTAGATGCCCTGCTACCTGCAAGATTCCATTTCTTCAGGAAGACTTTCTTAGTACTCCCAGCTGCTAGAGTCTTCCCCTTCCATCTCTTCTGTATCTTGTATATACTTACTCATATACATGTTTTCTTTCCCATTAAAATGTGCATTGACTAACATTTGTATCTTTGTATTTCCTTTAGATCCTAAACTTTGTACAGAGCAAATTCTAAATGATGTTGTTGAATTGTCCCCATGTCCAGATGATCAGCTCTGTTCTTTCCTTTGAAATTAGCTATTTTTACAGCCAGTATTGGGTCAGTGGGCTTTTCTCTTTTAGAAGCAAGTAACTTTGCCAACACCTGGGAGGAAATGTTCCTGCAAGATGTCTGTTACAGTCATACAATCATAGGATTCAGTACTTAGACGGACCTTAGAGAACATCCAAGATGAGGAAACTGAGGCCCAGATAGAAAGTTACTTTTCCACAATCATACACTTAGTAGAGATGAGATTCAAACCTGTCTTGTGACTCTGCCATCTTTTACAAATTCTGCTGGTCAAGCATCAAAGGCTCCCCTTTGCCTTCAGGCTAAAATACAAATTCCTGTGTTTGACCTTTAAAATTCCCACTTTCTTCCTATTTTTAAAGACTTAATACACATTACTACACCTCATATACTCTATACTCCAGCCAAACTGGACTTTCTGTTTTCCATACACAACATTCCATCTTTTGCAGCTGAGGTTTTGCACAGGTTGTCTCTCATGCCTGGAACTCTTCCTCAACTCTGCCTCATAGAAACCCCTCACTGCTATTAAGGCTCAGCTTAAATGTCCCTTCCTTCAAGAGGGATTTCCTGGTTCCTTAAGCTATTCATCTGCCTTCCTGCTTCAATGTATTTATATATCTCGTGTTATATATCTTGCATATATAATGTACACACATGTATATACATATATATGTGTATATATATATATATATAATCTTATTTTCACCTATGTGTGAATATGTTGGATCCCTCTAGAATGTAAGCTCCTTGAGGTCAGGGATTGTCTCACTTTTGTTTTTGTATCATCAGTGCCTGGCATGGTGACTGGCACATACATAATTGCTTAATAAATGCTTGTAGGTTGTTGACTGATGGCTGACTTCCACTTTATGTACCTGTCTTGATAAATATGTTTCCATGAGCATTCTAGACACCTTGGGCTACCCCAGTGATTGATGCATCATTAATTAGCCATGACATTGGCAAAAATGCAACAAAAATGTTCTTGAACTGAACAAATGGAAAAGGAAAAAGGCAGTTTAGCATAACTATTGAAAATGTTTACACCAGGAAACACTATACCTCTAAACCTACCTGCACTTTGGTTCTTCTACCCAAGTGAAACACCACCTCCTATAGAAAGCCTTTTCTTATCCCCACAGTCAGTATTGCTCTTTTCCCTACACAAACTCCACCTAAAGCTTTGTTTTCACCTCTCAAGCCTGTGTTAGTTTGTAAAATAATCATTTGCACATGTCATTGTCTTATATGACTACAAACTGCATGAGTTACTTTTGTACCTCACCCAATCCCTAGCATAGGGCTCCTCTGCACACAATTGGGTGTTTAAAAAAAAATTATTGAACTGAAATGACTGAAACACTCACACCTGTGCCGGTACCCGGCCCCTGATGCCATCACCACCTCTGCTCCCAGCATCCCGTTAACATTGCTAATCTGTGCTCTCTCAAAACCGCTTTCCTGGATCTGTCCCAGGTCTCGGACCCTCCCCCCGTACTTAACCCTGTATGGGTCGGTACTCTCCTCCCTCGGGGTTCCCTTGCCTTTCTCCCCAGTGCTTCTGGTGCGGGGACCCCAGGACGCTAATCTCGTGGCGAGAACCTCCCCGTCCACCGCGCGCTCGGGGTGGTCGGTAGAAGCCGTGCGACCAGACCGCGTTGAACTCGGCCGCTCCGGCCCCTTGACGGCTCTCGGACTGGGCTTGTCCTGCTCGGCCCAGCCAGACTCCTTCCCCAGGGGTCGGGCCAGCCAGAGCCTGAGATCCAGCGAGCTTGGGGCGGGGTGCATTTGCGTGTGCGTGCTTGTGTCTATGAACTATGTAGTTGTGTGTGTGTGTGTGTGTGTGTGTGTGTGTGTGTGTGTGTGTGTGTGTGTGTGTGTGTGTGTGTGTGTGTCCAGGGAGGGGAAAGCTCCGCCTCTCAGGGTTCTGGGGCCGCCCAATAAAGAGAACTGCGGCCGGACCAGCTGCTCGCACCTTGCACTACCCTCGGCTCCGCTCCCACTCCTGCTCCCGGAGCTTTTCCTTCTCCAGGCAGGGCTTCCCCGAGCCCCTTTGCGCCCGGCGTGCCAGCCTGTCAGTCCGTCAGTCCATCTACCTGCCTGCCAGTCCTGGCCTGATACAGAGCCGGGAGCAGCAGGTGAGGCTCAGAGCCGCAAGGGGATGTCAGAGATTATGTCAATCCCATCAGGCTGGAAAGGGCTCTGAGCCGGCACCAGCACCTGCACCACGGTCACTGGACTCGGAGCTGTCAGAGAGGGCAGGTGGGTGCTGTCAGCGACTGTCACCGCCCCCGGCTGGAGGCAGCGCATTTCGGAGAACCCTCAGTGTCCGGCTGCAGGATGGCGCTCAGGGCGAGGGGGATGCACCTGAGGCTCGCTTTCCCTGCCTGGGGACTCTTGTTTTTGGCCCTTTGGATGCTACCGCGGGTCTTGGGGATGGAAGAGAACCCAGAGCACAATAACCACGGAAATGAGGGCTTCCAGATTGTCACCTTCAAATGGGATCACGTCCAGGACCCCTACATCATCGCACTTTGGATTCTCGTAGCTAGCTTGGCCAAGATTGGTGAGTTAGCAAACCCGCCAGAGCAGACCCGTCAGGCGACTTGGGGAGCAAGCAGCTCCTGACCCAGATTCTGATGATCCTCTTTCCAGGGTTTGAGGGGTGGCAGTGGTATTCGGGACTGGGAGTGATCAGGTTCATTTATTTGTTTTTTTATTTGTTGTCTCATGTTCTCAACATTGCCCCTGGACGCAGCGTTACTGTGTCCTTCTGACAGTTCTAGTTCGAATCTTTAATCCAAATTAATGAGCTATCTTATCACAAGCCTGTTTTCCTAAATCTGATCCTATTTCTTTTTCATGTCAAATACCTTAGTAATTTCTAAAGCAAGTATTTTTGTTCCATAATGATTTTGCTCTTGTCCATCCATAATATTCATGTAGCTAATGACTTTTCTGGGAAAATGTTCCAGAAATTTTTTTATGGTGTGTCATTTTGTGACACTTTCTCCTCTTTCTCCCCATAATTTGGCACTACCTAGAAGTTTATGGCAAAATGCATCTGAAGTAGACAGGGATTACACTCTATGGGCAAGTAGTTAGGGTAATTTTGCACATATATAACACATATTAGTTAACATATATTAACCAATATGAATATATAGTATTAGCATTATATAGTGCCACTATTTGGTATCCTCAACATTTCCTTGTTCTGGTGACATTTTACCTTTTGTAAAAATTTCTGTCTGGTTTAATAATTGTTATAGGATCTGGTATATTTGGAATTTAATACACAGACATCCTACAGAATTCACTGGTTGTCCTTGAATTGTTATATGAATTTTTTGAAAAGGAGTTGCTGGTAGTATGCTGAGAGCCTTGAAGCATATAGTTAGAAACTGAAATTTTTGGCTCTTATTATTGAATTAATCTCCACTACTCTCAATAAATCTGAAATCTCATCAAACCTTAATAACTCAGCAAACCGAAAATTTTCATCCTAATTCAATGACAACAACAAAAGCAGTAGAATGGGTGGAAAGACCATATGCCTCCCTTGTGGATTTTTGATGTTTATGCAAATATTTACCTTTTCTCAAGTTTTTTTTTGTTGTTGTCTTTTCTACCTTAGATTCCTGTTTGTTTAAAAACTTAAATGTTTTTTAAGTTTAATTTTATTTTCTTATATTATTGGTAGTTGTGAGTTATTTTTGCTTCAATATACTGAAGCAGGTAATTGGGAAAACCTTGTGTATAAAGACATTTTCCCCTGTAACACTTGTTTTTTTTGTCCTGACTTTATTAGCTGTCTTTTCATTCCTCTGAGAAAGTTGCCTCACCTTTCGGTAAAACAAAGGTGATAATTAACTACTAGGGAAGGTGATAGGAAGGTTAATTTTCCTCAAGTGCTTTGCTATAGAAAATTAACTATATTTAATAGATATGCCTTTTTTACTGTGGGTCATAGATTTTGGCTCTTAATAATCCTTTGATGGACCTGGCCTGTCTTTGTGCAGTTTACTTTTTCTGTCTGATGTAGATACACCCTGCTCCATTCAAGTAGACCTGAGTTTGATGTTTGACACAACCTCATTCTTGTTCTTTTTAGGATTCAACCTTTATCTTTATTAAATTATTTCAATCCCAAAGCAGAGCAAGAGGAACAGGGAGGCAATTTGTGTAGCTGGAATCACATAGTTAACCAATCTAAGAAGAGATCGTGTGATATAATGGTTAGAGAGGTGGCCTCAAAACTAGGAAGACAAGTTCAAGTTCTAATTCTGGACCTATACTGGCTGAATGACCCTGGGCAAGTCATTTATCCTCAGAGGGCCCCAGGCAATCCTTTAGAACTCTAAGTTGGAGAAAAGGTACTAACTTGCTTTACCAGCATATTTTCTCACTGGGAGTTCTCTGTACCAGTGAAAATCACTGATACAGCTACTATTCCTAAAGAAAGTTAAATACTTGAGAGCATAAATGATTCTAACTTATTTTTTTCATCCTCACTGGTCCTGGAGAAGAAGAAAGGATGTAGATTAAATATTGTCTTCATATAAAACTGTTTGAAGAGATAGTCTGGTGTATGTATAGAGAGTAGAATCCTGGTCATGGAGCCAGGCAGATCTGGATTCAAGGTCTCGCTCTGACACTAGTCTTGGCAAATCAATCAACCTCTCAGTGCTCCCAGGCAACCTACCAAGAAGTTACATATTAGAGTAGAATTTCTACATGAATGAAAACAAGAAACTCAGGTTCAGGTATGATCATCTTAATTTTCCCATCCTTCTAATTTACTACTTTGGAAGGCTTCTGAGGGGATCTAATTTACAAGTAACTGGAAGGGTCAGCGAGGTGGCATAGTAGATAGAGTACTGAACCTAAGAAGATCTGAGTTCAAATACAGCATCAGACATTTACTAACTTTATAACCTTAGATAAGTCACTTAACCTGTACCAGCCTCAGGTTCCTCATCTGTAAATTGGGGGAGCTAGGTGGTGAAGTGCCAGACCTGGAGTCAGGAAGATCTGAGTTCAAATCCAGCCTCAGACCCTTACTAGCTCCGTGACCCTGGCCAAGACACCTAACCCTGTTTGCCTCAGTTTATTCATCTGTAAAATGAGCTGGAGAAGGAAATTGCAAACCCCTTCAGTATCTTTGCCAAGAAAACCCCAAATAGGGTCATGAAGATTTGGACATAACTGAAAAACGACTAACAACAACCACAACAAATTAGGTATAATAATAGCATCAACCTCCCAGAGTTGTTGTGAGGATCAAATTTGTAAGGTACTTTGCAAACCTTAAAATGCTATAATAATCTCAAATGAAATACTTGGAACTTGTTAAAAGAAAAGCAGTATATGATCATAGATTTAGAGCTGGAAGGGACCTGAGAAGGCATTGAGTCTAACTTTCTCATTTTGCAGATGAGGAAACTGATACTCAGAGAGTCACTCAGCTAATAGCTATTAGAGCTCCAAGTCCAGTTCCCTAACCACTGCATCATGTTGCTTTTCATTAGATAACATGGTTTATATAAATGTCAGCTCTTCCACAAACTTAGAGCCCCACAGAAAGTGAAACTGTTGATTTGTATCATAGGCACAACTCAAATTAAAAGTAGCAATTCTAGGAGGCCAAAGACTCTCATTTCTTGATATTTTTCTGAGGCAGTTTAACAGAAAGATCATCATTTTCAGAGGCAGGAGAACTGTGTTCAGATCCCAACCTAGACATTTATTGACCCTGTGACCATGGGAAATTCACTTAATCTCTGAGAATTGCAGTGCTCTCTCATGGAATATAAGAGTGTTAATCCTAGCATTGCTTTCCTTGCTAGGCCATTTTGAGTAAATATACACTTCTAGGGTTTGGCATCCCAGCTCGGACAGTCCCTAGTTGTATAGCCTTGTAGAACTCACTTTATCTCTAAGCCTAAATTTTCTCATTTAGAAAATGATATATTCACTACCTACCTTAGAAGATGGTGGTGAGAATTGAATGAGCTAATGTGAACATAGTTCATAACTTTGGAGTACTACATACATTGACTAAGCTAGTATAACCTAAAACAATTTTTTTTTGTCTAATTTTAGGTAACTGAGTTAATTATTTAGAGTAGAGCTGTCCTGATGATGGCATTATTGTCTACTTCAATTTGACTATGCTTGAAAGAATCCCCAATGACTCCTATAAAAAAATCCTGTGTCCCAGGTCTTCAAGAACTGAATACTTACCAGCTCTCCCCTAGTTTGATTAACCCAGATCAGTCAGGAAAAAGTATCATTTCTAATACAGATGGAATCCTGTTTAACAATTTCATTTAAGCATCCCATTGTTATATGAAACTGTTTCTATTTCCCAAGTTACAAGTCCTAATGTGGGCCTCTAAATTGTTTTGCTGCTATGATACAAATAATTTTATAAAAAGAAAAATGCTGTATGGCTGATGTATGTACAAATCTGTCAATTTAATAGTTAATCTATTTAAGGAAGTTATTGCCTGCCCCCAAAGGATTATGTGGTGCCTGCATAATGTCAAGAGACCTAGACAAGATTCCCAGAATGTTGGGTGCACACCTCTCTGAATGATTTATGAGCCAAAATAGCCACATGCTGCACTGTATGAGAGGGAATGAATGAGTTGCAATCAGCACCATTGGAGGGAATGCTGTTGATGAGATTGCATATCCATTTAAGGCTTTTAGTGCTGTGCTTTCAATATCTTTTTTGTTTTGTTTTGTTTTTGTGAGGCAATTGGGATTAAGTGACTTGCCCAGGGTCACACAGCTAATACGTGTCAAGTGTCTGGCCTGAGACCAGATTTGAACTCAGGTCCTCCTGACTTCAGGGCCAGTGCTCTATCCACTGCACCACCTAGCTGCCCCTCAATATCTTTTTAATAAAGCGTATGATAACTATAATAGATGAGTGTATTAAAAAGAATACTTTCTAGTAGAACTAGAACTGCATGTTGGTTGGTGGATGTGACTGAGTTGTCCTCAACATGATTTAAGTAAGGTCTTAAATGAGTAAAAGGTCAAAGTAGATAATCTGGGAGCAAATTAGTTCCTGAAGTGGGAATTGCAAAAGAAGAAAGAGAAAAAGGGTGTGTAAGTTAAGTATAAAGGATGCAGATTCAGAGGGCCTGATAGGAACATAGAGAAATATAAAGTGGGACCTACCAAATGGAGAGGAATTGTAAAATCATCAAGTGTCTATCCAGAGGTCAGCAATAAAGACTGAGGAATGTGGGAGGAGGAATCCCAAAACTCATTTGAGAGTTGGGCTTCTATTGACAGATTAAACTATGTAAAATGATAAGTTTTCTTCCAAATGTTTTTCACACCTCAAATTTTCTCATCCTAAACACGTCACAGAACCAGAGAATTTTAGGAAGAAATCTTGGAGGTGATCTAATCTACCCTCCTTCTCAGTGAAGAATCCTTTCTATAATTCAATTTCAGTGAATATTTATTAAGCATCTTCTGTGTGCAAGAACTTGTGTTAAGCACTGGAGGCACAAGGATGAAGCATTTGTCCAACCTTCCAACAAT